TATATGGTAAAGTTTTTTTGTTGGTAAAAAAAAAAAAGATTTTTTCCATCTTGTTTAAATTGTAATGTTGATTTTAAAAGTGTATGCACCATCAACCACCAGTTAAGCTTAGTGTATAGACAAAAGATAGTTATAAAACTTGTTTCCCCCCCCCCCCTCCCCCCAACCACCACCACCAAAAAAAAGGAATTATATAACAGCAGCCAATATTTGAGAGTAAGAAACAATTTAAGACCTGGAAAATACCCCCTAATCTTGAAATAAAGAAAAACAACTTCTGACACAGTTCCTGACTTTGAAAAATTTGGCTGTGTTAAGATATAGTTTCTTGTGATCTCAACTCTTCCCTGTTACAACAACTTCTGACACGGTTCCTAACTTTGGACAGGCACGTTAAAATTTGGCTGGGTAAAGATATAGTTTCTTGTGATCTCAACCCTTCCCCGTTACAACTTCTGACACAGTTTCAGACTTTCTGGCCTGGGACAAGCACACGAAAATGTGGCTGGGATATGATAGTTTCTTGTGATCTCAACCCTCCCCTTACAACAACTTCTGACAAGGTCCCTGGCCTGGGACAGGCACACAAAAATTTGGCTGGGATAGAATAGTTTCATACTATATTTTAGTCTGCTTTACAAAGATTTTATTCCAGGTAATACAATATTAAGGTAAATGAACTAAAAGTGTCCTTCAAATAGATTTAAGTTTCAAGTTTCTAATTTGTCACATAGCATTTAATCCTTTTCAACAAAAGATAAAAGGATTGACCGAGCCCCCTTTTCGTGGGAAAAATCTTGTTGATTATATAGGGAATCACTGAAGCATGACTGGAGCGGGCCCCCCTTATGAAAAGTTCTGGATCCGCCACTGTTATGTATTTTTTTCTTACCCAGCAATGCTAGATTGATCATCATATTGGGTTGATATATGAAAAATACTATTTTCCACTAACCATAGAAGGTTGTATCTATCTTTTTTATCCAGGGTATTCCTATTTTTTATAATGACTGGGATTCCATTTATTCAATACCACACAACCAAAAAATTTCAGTTGTTTATTATAAGTTTATGAAGATTTGAACTAATAATAAAAGGAGGAATGGAAAAATCAAGATTGCATGATGAATAGGATTTTTCTTCCTTGTTCGGATGATCAGTAATTAAAAATCAGCATTAATTGAAATTTGAAACCAAACAAGATGTCTTAAGTTATTATCATAATTTTCCTCTTGTATAAATTCTGATAAAAATTCCCATGTCTGAAACCTCAATATTGATGGTCTTGTGTTATTTCTTCATGTTTTTTGTGCATGTAGAATATTGAAAATTGAAAATTGATTGTTCTTTTTTCTATTATTGAATAAGGTGTGTCTACTTCTGAATGTCTTTTGTGCTACTTTTTAGCTCACCTGGCCGAAAGGCCAAGTGAGCTTTTCTCATCAATTGGTAACTGTCGTCCGTTGTCGTCGTCATTGTTAACTTTTACAACAATCTTCTTCTATGAAACTAATGGGGCAAATTTAACCATACTTGGCCACAATCATTATTTGGGTATCTAGTTTAAAAAATGTGTCAAATGACCCTGTTTGCCAACCAAGATGGCCTACATAGCTTAAAATAGAACATAGGGGTAAAATGCAAGTTTTGTCTATTATTTTGAAAACTGTTATAAAAAGAGTCAAAAATGTTCAGAATGTTGAATACTACCAATTGTTCATCGACATCAAAACGGTCAGGCAACTTCTAATAGGAGTTATTGCCCTTAGATAACAAATTTTACCATTTTTTTTCATTTTTGCCTTTTATCCTGAAAACTATAATAGATAGTGAGAAACTTTAAGATGCAAAAATGATCAGCAAGACAAGATCTATGAATAAGTATGCATGGTTGATATCGTCAGTCGACTCCTAATTAGAGTTATTGCCCTTTGATGACATTGTTTACCATTTTTTTACGTTTTTACCTTATATCTTAAAAATTATAATAGATAGATAGAAACTTAAATAAGCAAAAATGATCAGCAAGACAAGATCTACATTTAAGACCAATGGAGGAAATTTTCTGATGACTCTTTATTGGAGTAATTACTCTTAATGATGATTTTACATTTTTTTGCATTTTACCTTATATGATAAAAATTTTAATAGATAAATAGAAACTTTAAATCACAAAAATGATCGACAAGGCAAGTTTGGCCAATATAATTAGTAGACTGTCATTATTCATAGGAGTGATTGCCCTTAAATGAGGATTTTTTTTTACATTTTTTTGCATTACAGTGTTTTGAGCAAAAACTAAAGAAGATAGAGAGAAACTTAACAGACTAAATTATCAGCAATTCAAGATCAACAAAATAGAAATTTTTGTCTTGAACTCTATTCTTGTCTACAATGTTGGAGATAGTCCATTGTTGATTATGCACATAGACCTAGGTGAACGACAGAGGCTCTTTATAGCCTCTAGTTTTATTATTCAGTTGTTGTCTCATTGACATATTTCCCGAATCTTCATTCAGTCATAATAAAGTAGATGTGGGTTATATATCAATGAGACTGCAACAAAAGTACAAAAAAGGTGTCAATACTATATGTCAAGGTCTAAATTGTCCTGAGTCTTTAAAAATTAAGAATAGAAACAATCAAAGAATTGTCATTTACAACCCATTTTCAGTATAAAGGAAAACATAAAGATATGAGCATAACAATTTCTGACACTTGGTAAGAACGTCCTTACGCTTTTTTTGGGTAATAAGTAAAAAAAATTTCTTTATATTAAAAAAAAAACCCATCTATATTGTGAGGCCTAAATGACTATCCCAAAGTACATTTGTGTAATTTTTTGTGAAGAACATTTATTGGTCTATCCCACATTTTGGTAGACAATCAGAATGGTCATCATGTTTACAGACCGGTTTTCTCATTATAAATTCCTTTGGAAACAACCAGTGTTCATTTTGCATCTATGAGTCTTCCGAAAATGAACCCATACCTAGTGCAAAATGCTTAGGAAAAAGTTTGGTTGACCCTGAATACCACTTACATACACTAAATGTAGGAATTGTGTTTCGTATCACAAGCATGCATTGCAAGTGTAAGCTTCATTTTGATTATCAACTTTATGACAGTGTTGCTGTCTCACCTGGGAAGATTATGTTGTTGAGTTAGCCAATAAATTTATAGGCATTATTTTATAGTTAACATGCACAGGTATTGTGGCCGACCACAGATTTAAATTTCGGACCAATATCACTTATTCCAAGTTTTAATTGGTTTCTTGGAATGTTTACAGGAGTTGGTATATGTAAAATAGTGAAAATTACATAAGCAAAATTGTCTGTCTAGGTAAATAATTGGCTGGATCACAGCACAGAGGAATGCTTTGATTTGTTGTTACCAGTAAATAATATCACCACTTATATCATAACATAATACAAAGCATCAACGTTTGGAGATATATATTTAAGATATTATCGGGGATTCATTTATTTTACTTATTTAATGTCCTATATCTTAAAATTTATTGATTCATAGAACTAGTAATATAATATTAGATGTGAAGTTTTCAGTTATTTGAAATTGTATTCTCTTCCTGTTTCATATGATGACTTCCTAATTTTGTATTACACAATAATTTCTAATTGTGCAATTAAACTGCGGTTTAAATACATGATACTCTCAAGTTTCAATGAAACATGTACCGAAAGTGTGAACCAGTTTTTTTTATTTTTAAATTTGTTGATTGCTGTATGCTGAAGCACATGCTATCACTGATTTGTGTTCTTAACTTTACTTATATGACAATTGATTAATGCTCCTAAATTAAAGTCACATACACCAATCTACCATTTTTAACGTTTTCTGACTTTATATGCAGTAATAAGAGCGTTCTATTATTTATATATAAGGGTGCAGTGCTACTTCACTTGACCTAGTAGATATAACCATCCTCCTTTAGCTGCACTAGTAGAATAATCCTTTAGTTCAGTTGGTAGAGAGATGACGTCCATTCGTTTAATGTGTTTTGTCATTTGATTTTGCCATGTGATTAGGGACTTTCCGATTGAATTTTCCTCGGAGTTCAGTATTTTTGTGATTTTACTTTTTACTGCTTCATGGGTCCCAGGTTAAGACCCTGACTGGTACAGTTGTAATTTTCGAAGAAAAAAATCATGTTATCCTGTATCATTAAGTGCTTTAACTTAAAACCCATAGAGAATCAAAGAGATTAAATTAGTTTAGTATGGGTAAGGAGCTGGATCTTCTGATTATGGTATATGGACCCTTGATTGTATACAGCAGAGCTTCCCATGACCTGGTAGACATATAACCACCCTCCATTAGCAGTGCTAGTAGAAAATTCTTATATCTCAGATGGTAGACAGGTGTCCTGGGAGCTACTACAGTGGTTATTTGAAAGTAAAATCATGCTCTACTGTAGTAAAGGTATGGGACTCATGGGAGTTGAAAAAAAAGAATTCATTTTGCTTCATTGCTGATGAAAACAAAACATGGTAGTATTATTATGTTGCACTTGTTTATTTTAAATGGCACAAATACAACTACCAGATCAAAAGGAGTAATACTTTCTGTTTTTCATTTGTAATTGCAGCATTTTGATGGTATCTTAGTCACTTTAAGTCAATTTTTGTTTTAATTAGTGTAAAATTGTATTAACCTTCTCATGAAAATAGAAATTCAATAACTGAAATAGGATGGTAGATATATTTTCTTTTACACTACAATTACTTCATAATTTTCCTCCAGCTAATCTGTTTGAAGAGCTGAATACAAACTGTTTGAAACTTGTTTGTACAAAAAATGACCAATTGGTATAAGGAAAGGACAAAGCCTATTTCATGAGTCACTTTAATTCCCTTGGTCAAATTTAAAATTAAATTAAATAATGCATAAAAAAATTAATAAAATACTTTTCAAAAGGTAATGTTAAATCATTATATAATATAATTAAAGTTTTTTTTGTTAGATTTTTTTCTTACCTAACAGTTTAACAACAGTCTTCATTTTGATTGTTATCTGTGTGGTCAGTTTGTATATATATGGTCATAGAATATTAATAAATTGGGATGTCCCATTTATATTTAGATACTTTATTTGTATTTATATATCCTGAATACATTGTACATATTTTTACTAAATACGTCAATCGGCACCTATCCTTTATTTGAAACTTTTCGTTGTTGTATATTATAATCGTAATCAAGTACGAGGCTTATAAATCATGTTCATAGTTGTTCTGTATAGATTTTGTACAGATATTGTAAAGTTAGCACAAAAAAATAGTCATCAATTTTCTATTTTAAGTAAAGAGATATTCTAGGATTTTTTTCTTTATTTTGAAATATAATAAACAAATAACAAAATAGCCCATCATCCAAGCATGTATGTGAAGGATGAGGGGCATTCTATGAGGAAGCCAGGAGGCCTCGAGGGTTAAATATGAATATTTTTTCGTTAGGCTGTATACGACCGACCTTTTTTACAGTTGAGTGATTTTATCACGTAGACAAAATCAGTCACCCGTGTAACCTTATCCTAAGCCTCGTTTAATCATAGGTTATTGAACTTCTATGTGATACCTTATTTATAGATTTTGTAAAATTGGCACAAAAATTATTCATTTTATAGTTAAATGAACATATATTCCAGAAAATATTTTTCTGCTTTGCTTCATTGTGAAATAAAGGTTAGTCATATGATAAACAAATAACAAAGTGTTTTAATACGGGTACTTGTATACTTAAGCAGCTATTAAAGGAAAAATACCAGTATTTATATAGATTAAAATATGATTAAATGAAGGTATCCAGTTCATCTTGTTTTATCAACAATTAACAATAAAAACATTCTGTAACATTTACCCTATGATATACATTTTATCATTATGCTTTTATGGGTAAAGTGAACCAACACCCTAAGGTAGTCAAGTTGGGGTGGATACTTAAGTGTATTGGATTTTTTGTCTTTCTACATGTAAATACAATTATAGAAATCAAAGACAACACAAACCATGTTAATACTGCATTATGCTTTTAATAGAGAATGTATACAAGTATATTTAAACTCTGTTTTGGATTTATTTATAGAATACTTGAAGTAATAATCACCCATATATAGATTTTCTCGATTTAATTATTTAACATTTTTTCATATAATCATGATGGGGCCTTTTATAGCTAACTATACCATATGGGTTTTATTCATTGTTGAAGGACATACAGTGACCTATAGTTCTTTCACTGGCAATCATACTACATCTTCTTAATGTTATAGGAAACGCTACATGTTAATATTTCTATTAATTAGGATTTAAAAGGTTCTTTTTCTTTGTTTTTGGACATATGTCAACATTTATCTCTTCATAGAGGGGATTTACTTGATTATTTTCCCTGTCACATATCTAAGCTCTGCCAAGAAAAAAGTATTTAAAACATCATAATTAAAATTTGGTATGGTATGTTTACCATTATATGATCTTAATTTGTAAGTTCATCATGTTATATCTGAACAAAAGTTAAACAAATAACACAAAATAAACCCCCCTAAAAAGACATGAGCAAAAAATGATATTGAAATGCTTGGTGCTTAAAACAGAACATTGGTATACATGTATTTGAATTAACTGTTTACAAAACTTTGAACTTTTCGAAATACTAAAAAATTTTCTATCACAGGAATAGATTATTTTATTTTGCAAAACCTTTCAGAATTTTGGATCCTCACTGCTTTTTAACTTGGTACTTTGTTTGGCCTTTTTAACTCTTTTTCTATTTAAATATCACTAATGAGTATGTAGTTGAAATTCACGTCTGGCGTACAAAATTTTAATCCAGGAATCTATGATGAGTTTAATAGTCTAAAATGTCAAAACAGCTTCTAAAGGAAAGTCATTTCTCAAAATTCAGTTTGAAGCTGAAAGAACAAAGTTAGGAAACTGTAGTTCAGTAAAATTTATTTTAAAAAAACTGAAAAAATCAATCTTTTTTGGTCAAGTATGCAACCAACTAGGTGGAAATTTGATTCTCTTCAGAGCTCTAGGCTCTTGGTCATAAAACTTTACTCAGTACTCAGAGTACAAAATTCGACTCGAAACACTCATTCCAGTGTTTTCATTGGTTGAATTCTGAGTCTGAGTATAATCGTGCTCAAGAGTTTTATGACTGCACATCCTGGTCTCATTATATGTTTCTCATTCTTTAGATCTTTAATAGGAATGCTTCGCTGAGGAAAACATCATACAAGTAAAATATAAAATATCAGTTTATTTCACAACCAGAGTGGGTATACATAGGCTTTAAGCCAGTTTCCCAATCCAGTTTTGATATGTTTTGAATAAAAGATTGTTTAAACTATCAGTGAAGCTGTGTTAAATTTATTCTGAAATTTTTTAGTAATATTTAAATACATGTTCATTTATGTGAACAACAAACAAACAAAAATGCACAGTGTATAATACTACCAGTTCTCTTACCGAGCAGTGTAAGCATTGTCTTCATTCTTGTCATGTGGTTAATATATGGTCAATACCCTCACTGCCCACAGGAATATACCAAATAATATAGTCAAATTGGGAGATGACTTTTATCAACATTAGACTGGGAATTCTGTGTTCCTTCTCAATCACTACTGTGCATGGTAATTCCGTACAAAACAAGGTAACAAAAGTTTACATTAGAAATACAAATTTTTGATGAAGTAATCATTGGAATTTTATAGAATCAATAATAACCATATAAATTGAACATTTTAAAATACCCCCCAAAATATAAGACGTGTAATTGATATGTTACTTCCTTACTTCTAGATCAGAGAAACAATAGATTATAATCTTAATATGGAATACATGTATAGGGTTACATAACTAATAGTTGTTATCCGAATTTAAGTACAGGTACAGGGAAAAGAAACAATAAACATTTTGTACTGTGATTTTATTTAAGTCAGTGAAATTGAATAAAAGTGCCAAATATACATAGTCATATCAAAAGGGTTAGAATTTTGTCAGACTGTGGATTTTAGATGTCTTTTATTAGTAAATAATTGCTCATCTTCTCAGATATATATAGCACAGGTCAATTTGATATTAGAAGTCTTGATTTGATAATATTCATATTGCATTCAATAAGAAGGGTCCTGATACATTCTTTGGTGTAAAAACGTCTTGAAGATGTACACATAGCAATTTATCAAATTACTGTTGTTTTTTAACAGGCTTTAAATAGTATTTCTATACCTATGATCTGCTACCTTTTGCTGTTACATAATGACACATCCTATCTGATATGCAAATCTTTATATTACTTAAAGGGTATTCATAGTAGTTTGATATCAGAGATTTCTCATATCTTAATAAGTCAACAACTTTAAGGGTCAAATACTGACAATATGAACATGCTGGCTTCATGCTGGCAACATGTCAAACGTGTACTTATTGTATATTGATAGCAGATCTTTGGTTGTCTCTGTTAAAATGTTTCTAAGCTCTTTTAGAACCCAATCAACTTCTAGCTTGACATTTTGTGTAGACACTTGAAGTCAGTGTGTTGGTTGTCATATGTCTTTATTTTTGGTGTTGTTGTGTTGCAGTCTTATCTCCTCTTATAAGTCATATAGATATATAGTTATGTCTCTAGCTTAGTGAAATAGAGGGGGATGGAGGCTGTATTTCTTAGATATATAGTTATATCTCCAGCTTAGTGAAATAGAGGCGGATAGAGGCTGTATTTTTTTGTCAGTTTATTTGTTTACTCCTTATCTATCTATCAAAATTAAGCACTTTTAAAATTATAATAAGAGGCTCCTGAATAGTACTTGATAGTTAATAGTTTTGTGCTGCTCCTATTTTTTTATCCAACTGATTTTAAAGATAACTGCATCCCATTAACTTTGTCATATCTATAAAAGGAGGTATTAAGGCATATTGTATCTACAAAACCTTATGAACTATTGATTGAATAACTTTTTCACTGAATCTTTGTTTCAAGGGAACAATCATTTAATTTTCAATTAATGGATTTTAAAAAAGATCATCCTGGTCAGGTAAGAACTGAAAATGAAAAAATTACCAAAGACAGGTTGAAAATGAACCCACAAAATGCAGGAAATAATTGTGTTCAAAATCAAAATTATTTTTTTATTTGCAAAGCCTTGCAAACTGAATAAGGCAGCCTAGCAACAGATGAAAATTAATATTCTGTGGGTAAAAAGTCCTCCTGGACCCCAGATATTCAAAGTGTCCCTATACAAGATGTGAATGTGAAATTGATATTCTAGTTTTTGATCAATAATTTTGGGGTTTCCTATAGCGAAATATCAACTCTCCCATATGTATAAAAGGGCTATACATCAATTATCCATTACTCCTTCTGAATAACAGAATTATACATGGCAAATGGCATTACAATTTCCAATTCTTTTTTTTTATTCAAACTACTTTTTTGTATCCATTGCATTCAATGTTTGGCCTCATCTATAGAAGTTCAGGATTCAGGAGCAAATAATGCTTGTTTAAATGGCATAACACAAGTCACTAGTTGCCTCAAAGATTGCCATCAAAACCCCTTCCCTCAAAGATTGCCGTCATCACCCTGTTCCCTCAAAGATTGCCATCAGCACCCCATTCTCTCAATGATTGCCATCAACACCTCATTCCCTCAAAGATTGCCATCAACACCCTTTCCTTCAAAGATTGCCATCACCACCCCATTCCCCCAGGGTGTGCCATCAACACCCTTTCCCTCAAAGATTGCCATCAACACCGTATTCCCTCAATCATCAACACCCTTTCCCTCAAAGATTGCCATCAACACCCCATTCCCTCAAAGATTGCCATCAATTCCCCATTTCCTAAAGGATTTCATTAACACTCTTTCCCTTAAAGATTGCTATCAACACCCCATTCCCTCAACGATTGCCATCAACACCCCTTTCCCTCAAAGATTGCCATCAACACCCCATTCCTTCAAAGATTACCATCAACACCCTATTCCTTCGAAGACAAAAACATAAAGTTATA